CACCATCTTCCTCGGCAGTCAAAGTCAAGAAGTACACCCCGGGCCTGGTCAGGATAAGGATAGCCCTCTCGACTTTCACAAGCTTATATCTGTGACCCTGTTGTAATTTGGATTCTTAGTAGACTATGGAGCAACCAAGCTTTGTACAAAATAAAAATAAAAATTGAAGCAAAATAAGGCTAGAATGATGTTCATGATTTGAGGTGATAACATTAGAAAGCAAAATATATTTAAGGGCAGAATAGAAACGCACAGTCTCTTCACATATATTCTGAATTGCTAACTCGGCTGCTCGGACAACTCTAGCATAGCCGGTTTTATCAATCTTGCTTGTACCCTGGCGCATCTCTTCCAGTGGAAGTGGTAAGAATGGAGATTCAAACATCGAAGGCGGGTAGCAATCCACGTCATAACCCTACAAAAATCAGAAGCAGCTCATCATCTATTTCAATCAAACAAAAAAAATAAGACAAACCAACATAAAAAAATATAATTAAACAAAATTAACGAGTATATAAACGAGATGCAGCAACTTAGAGCTCCCCAAACACATTATATAAGGAAGAAAAAAGCAGGACCAAGTAGGCGAGCAAAACCCTAACTATAAACAATCGGATTTCAACAAAAAAAATAAAAATAAAAACCACCGGTAGAATCAGTACGGTGACAGAGAAGGAGAAGAAGGATTTTAGGGATAGATACCCTGGATTCGCGGACTTGTTTGAGGAATCTCTTGACCAGGTCGATGGTATTGGGCTTAATCTCCTCGCCGTTCTGGTAGAAATAGGATTCAGGGACGTCATAATCGTTCTTTTCGAACCAGAACTTGCGCTTGTACGGTACAAACACTCCCCACCAGTCATCGTCGAGAGTCGGGTCCGTCACCATCTTCATTGTTACCCCGATGTGTTTGGCTCTCTACTTCTCACTTTTATAATGAATCTAAACTATACAATCCAACTCAATACATGTCTAAGTCAATATATACGATATAGGTGTAGGGTGTGATTGTTTATGATTTTAACTAAAAAAAAAAACCAATTAAAATTTAAGTTTAACTCAACTTTAACTCAATCTCGTATTTTTAATATTATCAATATAATTAAATAA